GTTACATAAACTTGTATTGACGATGGACTTACAGAATTGGATTCTTATCAACTGCATTGCTCCCTTCCCAGATTAAGTAGTCTTGCTGTGGTGGGTTAGCAGCAGAAGCGGGGCTCCTTGGTTTATATATCATTCAGGTGTAGTCCTGGCAAATGTTGTTTCTGTGATATATATGGTGCAGCCATTTTGCAAATTATATTTTGTAATATATCCCTTTGCACGTTAGGAATTTTCTGAGTCCAGTGACCATTCTTTGGTTCTCTTTCAGTCATGCTGCTGGCTCCTAGATGTCTTATGGAGACAGTGGGGCAAATGCGTATGCCTGTCCTGTCCCACTGCATTTGTGCGGTGGCACAGTCTGTAATGGGATCATCGTTTGCTCCTGTGGGCCAAGTATTTCAATCCTATTTAACTGTTCATCATCTGGGCTTTGCCTTTTATGTTGTCATAGTAATATCATGATCTGAGAATAAATAAGAGTATTGCCATTATCCGTGATTCCATTCCCTCTTAAGCATCATGTTATGTGACAGAGGATTACCACAGGTATCTGTCGGGACCAGGAACTATTCTGTTCCATGACACAGAGGAAGCTAGATGGGGGGCGGGGGACACCCAGGTGCTCTGTGTCAAAGTCAGTAAGACAGGTAGCCTCTCACCTTAGGGTCACTGGGCACCAGAAAGGATGACTTGGAGGAGGTTCCAAGGTCAAAGACAGGAAAGTGAGCCCAGGACAGGTCATCAGCTGGGGAGGTAAGATGAAATATTGAACTTGAGGTGTAGAGTCCCAACAAGGACATGGAAGAACCAGGTCAGTCGGGAAGAGCAAGGAAGATGATGGGACCTGTGAGGTGGTCAGCCGGGTGAGCAGTTCTCCCCCAGGCAGCAGAGGAATCCCCGAGGGCTCTCTTAAAACAAGCAGCGCTCTTCTCCACCCCAGCTCTCTTGCCTCAGTGCGTCTCAGGTGGGTCCCGGTCATCTGCATTTCTGACAAGCTCTGCGGTGATGTTAATGAGTCTGATCTGGGAGACACACCTGGAGAGCCGCGGTTCTAGGTGAATCCCAGAGATGAGTGCTGGGGCCTGAGGTGCTGTTCCTCGAGCTCCTTGGATACTTGGGTGGATGAGCTGAGTTTGTTTAAAGGTTTGGGGACAGAACAGACAAATACAACACGTGGCTTTGTTTTTTTCTTTTCATTTTAATTGGCTTTAAAGAAAAGATCAAATGCATAACTCAGAGTTTATGAGGATGTAAACTTCCTTCTGAATTAGATTGTGCAATAAAGAACTTACATTCTTGCCATATAAGCGTACATGGGGTATGCTGCTGAGCGAAGTAAGTCCATCAGAGAAAGACAGTTATCACATGATTTCATTCCTATGTGGAATTTAGGAAACAAAACAGAGGATCATAGGGGAAGGGAGGAAAAACTGAGAAGAAATCAGAGAGGGAGACAAGCCATAAGAGACTCTTAACCCTAGGAAACAAACTGAGGGTTGCTGGAGGGGGAGGTGGGGGGATGGGATCACTGGGGGATGGGCATGACAGAGGGCACGTGATGTGATGAGCACTGGGTGTGCCATGTGCAGCTGATGAATCACTGACCTCCACCTCTGAAGCCAATAATACACACTATGTTAAGTAATTGAATTTAAATTTTAGAAAAGGAAAAAAAAATTATTCTCTATGAACAATGACGTATTTCATTGTTCTATAGTTTAGCAACTAGAACAGCACTCTGGTTACAGGCACGTGCTCCGAGGACGGACTGCCTCGGGTCAGACCGCGATCCCGCCACCAGCTCTGTGTCATGAGGTCCCAGGCCCCCTAGATTCGCTGAGCTCCCTGTGTTCTGTGTCCACTTCTGCGGAGGGCAGGGACCTCTGCCTGGCTGTCAGCAGTGTCTGTCGGTTACCTGTAAAGCCCACAGGTGCCCCCACCTGCCCTGGGTCCCACCGGGGCCCGTTTGGACTCTGCTCCAGATCCGGTTGTTTGCAGACGTCTTCGCGGGACCCCGTATACACACCTCGTATTCCGCCCAGCCCTGTAGCTCTCCGGGCTCCGAGCAACCACGGCCCTGGCCTCAGCGCTTCCCCTCTCCGCACGTGGCTCACAGAGGTGTGCAAGGTGTGCCTCGGCTTTGCTTCTCAGGTGCAGGACCCTTGACTGTTCTCTAAGCATTCTGAAACTAGAGCCAAACGTCACCTAGCGTCTGGAATGTTAAAAGCGCCCAAACACTGATGACGACCCCCGAAAGAGACCAGACAGAAATGTGCCGCTCAGACTCCTTATTCGACAAATAAGCGATGTGAACACCTCAGTGCCTGTTTTTAAATGCAATCGCTGTATCTTTAGGGTTACGCGTACCTTCTGTTCATGGCCAGTGGTTATCTAGTTGTTATTTACATTGATACAAAGTTTCGTTTTACAATAGATTTGCTTTTGATTAAAAATACTCACTTAGAGGGGCACCTGGGTGGCTCAGTCAGTTAAGCCTCCAACTCTTGATTTCGGCTCCTGATTTCTTGATCTCAGGGCTTGAGATCGAGCCCCACATCAGGTTCCACTCAGCGGGGTTCTGCTGGGGATTCTCTCCCTCCCTTTCCCTCTGTCCCTTCCTCCCACCCACTTGTGCATGCATGTTCTCTCTCTCTCTAAAAAAAATTAATTTAGAGAAATATTAAGCAAATGATAGTACTCAAGGTAAGGAAATAGGGCAGCAATTGTAAAGGTAAAAACTCCGGTGATAGAAGGGTTAACAGCACTGCAAAACATTATGTTTTATAGTCTGCACCTGATAAAGGATTGTTGATTGGCTGGCTGATCGTTCATTCTCTCTTCCTGGCAGACAGCTCTCCCTCATTTCCTGTAAGCCCCTTATAACAAAGCGAGCAGACAGGCAATTCTCATGGCTCCGTTTCAGCATAAGGTCCCGGAAGAGAGGAGGGAAGGGTCAGTTAGGAGAGACGTTCGCTGGCACCTGGGAGGCTGGAGGAAGCCGCAGAGCCAGAGCTGTCCCTCCTGTCCTGGTTTCCAGAGACCAGCTCCTGTCAGCCCCTGGGCTCCTCGAGCACTCTCTCTCCCACACAGAGTCAAACTGGGCAAGTGCAACACGTTGAACACTGAACAAGTTAAAAACTCCATAATATGGAGTTTTTATGTTCCTGTGTGCAGGAACATTCGTGAAAAGGAGAGAAGCTTCTGAGTGTCACGTGCTTTTTCCCTCTTCCTTCCTCCGCTGTTTGGGAAGCTTTGCCTGCCACCCCGGGCAGCCCCACCTCCCGGTGGTTTCCACCAGCAATTTAAGCCTCCCTGACCAGGCTCACTGAATTATAGGGCCTCAGAGTAAACGCTCTGTGGGAGAACGCAAGGAGACGGAGGCAGGAGGCCCACTAATGGCAGGGTCTGGGCAGCCAAAGTCTAGAATGCAAAGAGCTCTGGATATTGGGGAAGATGTAAAGACAGACCTACAGAGAGGAGGTCAGAGTCCACAGGCGAAGGGCATGGCACCCACGAGACTACACTTCAGACACCAACTGAAGATGGGGGAACCCGTCAGCCCACACTTCTTACCAGCTGGCTGCAGATTCAGGACCCATAAACCCATCAGGTTTGATTAATTTGTGAGAACTCAAGAACTCAAGAAAGAACTGTCATTATAACCACGGTTTTACTATTAAGTTTCACGGTGCAGACTACAAATCGGGACCGGCCGGATGAAGACACATATGGGACGAGGTCTGGGAAGGGCCCAGGCAGGAAGCTTTCATGTCCCCAGGACACGTCCCTCCTAGCCCCTCTGTGTGTACGCTGCCCAGGAGGTTGACCCAAGCCCCTGGGACCAGAGAGCCTCTCGGGCTTTCATTCTGCAGGTGTGATGGATAGGATCACTGACTGTGTGACTGGACACAGTCCCTGGTGCCCGGTTCCTCCAGGGAGGGTGGGAGGTCAGGCTGATGTCAAGGCTCCAAGCCCTAGCCCTCTAACCACAGGGCTGGTCTTATGGCCCAGCCAGCCACCGTCCTGAAACTGTTTAGGGACCCACGGTTGGCTAATGACCTCATTTGTGTAAACTCTGGTGTGGTCCCCAGGGTCCACCATGAATAACAAAGACCCTTCTGTCACCTGGGAAATTCTAAGGGGTTACGAGTTCCCTCTCAGGAACCCTGGACAAGGACCAGACAAGTTCTTTATGATAAAACAGAAACTAGAATAACGATCAGGCCTTTAAGAGCTCCTGGGTGGCTCAGTCGTTGAAGCTTCTGCCTTCGGCTCAGGTCATGATCCCGGGGTCCTGGGATCGAGGCCCGCATGGGGCTCCCTGCTCCGCGGGGAGCCTGCTTCTCCCTCTCCCCCTCCCTTCGCTCGTGCTCACTCTCTGTCTCAAATAAATAAAATCTTAAAAAAAAAAATCAGATCTTTAAGTCACCAAAAACTAAGGCAAAGAAATAATGATTTTTATGATAGAGACACCACTGGAAAGTGTTGTTTGAATTACAAATAAGTGGTCACTAAGCCCCGTGAAATTCTTTTCTGTGTTTCGCTCTCTTGTTTGTTCATGTGACAATGTTTATTGAGTCTGACCTGTGCTCCTCACTGAAGCTATGTCGTCGCACTGCCAGCATATAGGGAAAAAGAAAAAAAAAATTTTAATGACATGGAAGAAGGGAAAGAAACACTATTTGAAATCATTTACTTATTTTCCTATTGATCTAAATGAACCCGCATTCTGAGATAATTCTTCATTTTTCTTGTCCCAAATTATGCTAAAGGAGCTCCCAAAGTACAAAATATTTCATGTGGGCCTGCGGGAGCCTGGGAGGTGGGGGTCGGAGAAGGAGTGCGGGTGTCACTTGTTTAACCCGAGGGCTGCCGTCTGGCCTTCTGCTCTTCCATAAAACCAGGACATGTTTTAACATGTGATGTTTTTAAACTGTCTTTGTTTGCTTTCCTGTAATTGGAGCAACATACTAATTTCTACCAGTTGTGACTACTAACAGACAGCAATCACCTCACAGACTTGTACCGAAGAGACGAGACCATCCAGGTGACGGGAAACGGCCACGTGCAGAGTCCTCGCTTCCCCAACAGCTACCCCAGGAACCTGCTGCTGACGTGGCGGCTCCGGTCGCGGGACAAGACAAGGATACAGCTCGCCTTTGACCAGCAGTTTGGGCTGGAGGAAGCCGAAAATGAGATCTGCAGGTGAGCAGGGAGGAAACCCTTTCAGGGGCACACTTCCAAGGTGAAGGCAAGGCAGTTCAAGGTGTCCCACCAGACTTCCCTCAGGAGCCCCGGGGACCTGCTCGAGGTGTGTTGTCCCCCTTCCTTTCCGAAGAGCCGTTGGGTCCATCCTGGCAGATGGAACATGGGAGGGCGGACCGCCTGTGCAAAGGGCCTGCTTACCTGGGGCCTCACAGAGAAACACGGGCCCATGATGGCCCGTGAAGGCCGGGCCCCGAGCCGCCTTTGTGAGCAGGTAGACGCATCGGGTGTCCACGACAGCCCCCTTCCCAGGGTGGTTCTGGGACCCATCTGCCATGGGCTTACGGAAGATCCTGCCCTGCTGGGCTCCAGGACCTCAGCCAGGCTGCTGTAACCGATGCATGGCCTGATCTCCCCCGCCTGGGAGAGGGCGGTGGCCAGGACCGTGTCAGGGCCCTACCCTGAAATCACAGGCCTCAGATCCGTGTGAGAAAGAACCGTGAGCCCCGGGTCTGGAAGCAACTCAGACGGACTGTCTCGTGTCCTTCCTGCGCCAGTAGTCGATGAAAACCATGCTCCATAATCTCCCTTCCAAGCGAATTTATCAGAGAAAGCCCCGGCTATTCCTTGAATTGTCTGCTCCCAACATCATAGTCATTTAATTAGCATGTATGAGGCCAGGAAGGGTTTTGTTTCCCTCCCGCACCTTACCCCACGCGCTCCTTCTCCATTGCCGTTGAGCCGCTGAAGAAATCCTTTCAGCAGCTTTATGTCCCTCCGACACATGAAAAGAGGCTGCCTCAAATCTGGCTGTCCTTTGTTGCATGTTTATGAGGCTGACAGCTTTTATCATGTGGCTGTTGTTTTTTTTTCAAGAATAGCAGCAGTGATGATATCTTTCTAAGACCACAGAGGGTAATGTAAGCCAAAAGCAGAGACAGATATAGTCCAAAGAGCTGGTTAATATTTATTTACAGAGAGAACGCACTCCAGCAGATCTCGGGTCTGTGCAACCTGGAAAGGGAGAACTCATTTTCTGGGCTGGAAAAAGAGATGGTGGGAGACACTTTTTTTTTTGGAGACTGTAGAGGGTGGTGATGACCCGGACAGGAAAGCAGGTCCCGACAGCTGAGCTGGGATTTCGACCCTGGCCTTGAAAATAGAAGATGCCAGGGTGCTTTCCTTTCTGGACCCCTCATCAAAATCAGGTTGCGTCTCCAAATTTATGGAGGCAGGTAGAGGAGTAGGTGTGGAAAGGGGAAAGGAAGACGGGAGAGAGACAGGTCAGAGCCTCAGAGCCTCAGACCCTCCCAAAGAATTGAAGTGAAGCTCTCTTGACTTCATCCACAGTAAAAATCACACTGCTGTTGTTTTCACACAAAAAAACAAAAAGGAAAGTGACCTATGGTGTTATTAACAAAGTTTCAAGTATACTCATGCTTTGTGCAGTAACTATGATTTACATATATTGTATATAAAATGTAATGCAATTGATTTCCTACCATCTGTTCCAAAGCCTCCTTGATGTTTACACTGTAATATTTTATTGCTTGAATAATGATTCTTTGTGAGTGCTTTTCACCTTCCAAGCACCGTATAAACATTAAGTAATTAATTTACACAGCACCCAAGAGATATCCAGCCAGGAAATTTGTATAAACTCTTATTTGGCTCATAAGGAAATTGAGGCAAAGGACTTAAGGACCTTGCAAGTCACTTCAATGAAAAGTAGTCATGATGCCAATATTGGATAAGTGGGATGGGTGACAAGTTGGGTAAGTGGGTGATAAGTTCCCCAGCTCCTGTGATTATCCTGTCGGATCCAGGATTTTCTTCACATTCACCTGTGATGTTTCTCACGCTGATTCCTTTTGGCAGTTGGAATGGAAAAACCACAGTGTGTTGAGACAGCGGCCACTGCTCACCCTGAGTGCTCGTCCTCTGCCTTGTGACGTTAGCAGCCCATGTCATCCGGGGGGAGGGAGAGACGGATGCCCAGATGAAAGTCAGGTAGTTCAGCTCACCAAGTAGACTGTCCCAAGATTTGCAGTGTCTGAAAATCAGGGAGATGATCCCTAGAAGATGTACACTCTGTCCCTAAAGACATTCTACCACGTGATGGAAAAGTTATATGGAACATTCAGAGGGGACTGCCCTCTGTTCTTAACCTTGGCATTCGGTGACTCTCTGCCCAGCGTCAGAGTTGAAACTGTGATCTTCTGCTCATTCACACGCTGGTTTAACCAGGCCAGCTAGTTCCAGTAGTGGCTAGGACAGCTCCCTCCCCGAAGTCTTAATGCTTTTCACTATGATAACTGTCCTGTTTTATGATATGATCCTTCCAAAAGACAGCTTCCTAAAGAGTAAATAGAGGTTTATTTTATTTCACCAGGTATCTTCTATAATGAGATGATGTAATGTAATGCTAATTCTATATGCTTTATAGATACAGGTCATTTCTTAAGGAAGCCCTGAATGTGGTGAATTAATTCAAAGTGGGAATTTGTTTGAAAACTTTATATAGTAAATATTTGGACATAGAATTAGAGCTATATCTAAAAAATAGGACAATAGATGACAATAGATTATAGTTACTGGTTTTCCTAGGAAACACTTATGAGCCCCTTGCTCAAACAGTGGCCCATTTTCATTACTGATGATTTGGGCATACTCATGGCTAAACATCCATGAGGGTTCTTTTGGATTATTGAAGTTTGAATTTAGAAAATTTCATCCAAAAAACTAGGTTTCCCTTCAAAATTTCAATGGGCTTTAGTTTTCATTTTAGCAAATAGGTCATGAGAAGGCACATATGTAATTTTCATTTCCGAGTGGAAGTACGAATTTCGTAGTCTACTCTAACCAAAATATGTTTATTTATGCCAAATTGAAACCAGGTATGATTTTGTGGAAGTCGAAGATGTATCTGAAACCAGTACCATAATTAGAGGACGGTGGTGTGGACACAAGGAAGTTCCTCCAAGGATAACATCAAGAACAAACCAAATAAAAATAACATTCAAGTCCGATGACTACTTCGTGGCTAAACCTGGATTCAAGATTTATTATTCCATTGTGGTAAGTAGCCAAAACCACTCTGTGATTAAAAGCAGACACTGGTTTCATAAAGTATAGAGATATTTTCTGTGATTAAATGCAGCGGTATGAGGGTGAACTTTTGTTAATTCTCAGTGGTATGCTGTGTGCCTACTTCATGGCCAACACGGTAAAGCTCTCTTCGGTAAGGAACACTGTTTGGGATCGATTAAGTCAACCCTTGGGTCTACACCTTTTGAACGGAATCCTGGTAATTAGAAAAAGTAAAATAGTTGAGAAGAAAGCAGTATTACCTTTGATCCAGCTGATGTGGGATAAATGTATAGCCCAAAACAGGGCATTTGGAAAGTTGACCATCTTCCATTCAAAAAGTTGTCTGTGTCCTTCCAGCCACAGAGAAGTGTGTGAATGATTTTAGTTTAAATTCTGATCCAAACTAGGGAAAGGTCTATGTCATGATCATAGAGCTTCAGAGTTAGCAAGCCTCTTGAGGATCATAAAGCCTGAGCCCAGACCCTGGAGTTGCACACTGTTTGCTACAGTCACGCTTCTCTGTGTCCTCACCTCTCCTTCCACACACCAGCCGCCATTCCCAACTCTACGTGGTTCTGACCGGTGGAAATTGCTCAGCCTCTTACTGAGTCAAAATCTCTATCGTCATTAATTCTGGCTCTTGGGTCACACGCTGCCATGTGTCTGCTTTACTCACGTGGTCATTCATAGGACACTGGAAGGTTCCTGCTCATTGTCAGACGTTCTGCTAGGTGTCATGGCCACAGAGGTGGGCAGGACAGAGGGGTTTCTTGAGCCCCTGAAGTTTGTAATCTGGTAGGGATGACAATCAGTTACAAAGCCATGGGGAGTGGGAACAATGAGTAATGACACAGAAGTGCTGGGCTCTATGGGTTAAGCTCAGAGAGACACCGGGATGGCTTTACCTGTTCGCTCTATTAGACTACCCGTGACCCCTTCGTGTTCATAGCATGATGCCTTTTGTTTTCCCACAAACACTGTTTATTCCCATTCCACTTGACTCTGTCCCTTTTCAAAGGCCGGATACCAAAATAGAACACGGCACTATGAATGGAGTCAATTTGTGGTCTTGCTCCCCTCTTGTGTTAAATTGAGAATGGGGGAAAAAAACTTGCTTTTTATATCTGATGTGGGTGGTTTTTTGTTTTGTTTTTTTATTTTTGCGTTATCGTGAGTTATTAAACACTAAGTGAATTCTACACCAGAATAAATGGGAAAAGAGCATGAGGTGTGTCTGGTTCCAGTTTTTATTTGAAAATAATCCATCAAGCAAGATTTACATTTTTGCAAACAACCGTGCTGCTCAGCATGCAAGCTGAAGTGTGAACCTTTGGTTTCCACCTTTCTTTCTTTCCACATGTCCACTGTGCATCCATTCTCTGCTGTTCATGGATGAGCAGGCTTGGCATGTTGGAATGCGGGTGGATAGGCTTAGGGAAGGACTTTTTTTCCCTTAAAATACCAAGCACTATCCCGGATGATGGAGATACTTTTTGTAGAACTTTGGTCATGACTAAATTGAACGGTCCATAGTCAGTTAGAAATACCCCTAACCCTCATACAGGGACACTCTAAGGCGAAATAACGCCTTTTTGTTTTTGTAGAACAGAGAGTACAGATATGGATTTAGGGAAGAGCTACTTCTCCCGTTGGAGGGTTTTGGGGTTTTGGTTCAGGCTCATCACTCCCTCACTAGCCGGTGGCAAGTGGCATATGGGACAGCCTCTAGAGGGGCACGGAGACTGGCATCCCCCCACTCCCTTACTCATTCACCTGCACCAGGACTCCACTGTGGGTTTGGGGGATGACAACAGTTATCACTTCTCTGTGTACTTCCCTGCCAACCCCTTGGTCTGCATTCATTGGGAATAGCTCCAGGCTCCCTTTTCTGCTCCTAAAGTCCTCTGGCACTAAGTGTGATCCCTGGGAGACAAAGTGCTTTGGTGGCTGAATCCCAACAGGTGGGAGGAGCTTCCCCTCCAGGTGTGTACAGACTGTAGATCTGTGTGGCTGCGGATAAAACGTCCATTTGATTCTTGCTCAACGGGGATAGAAGATCGCTATGGCTCGAGCCATGTATTGGGAAGACCATGTCATTTGTGTTTAAGTTGTCCCTGCAGAGACTTCAAAGCAGCATTTGTAAAGTCAGACTCCACCGAGACCAGGCTTAAAGCCTACAGTTGGCCAACTATGAGCTAATATGGAGACAGGGGATTAAAAATGGTATCCCCGCTTAAGTGTTATCTAAACTATTATTTTTACAGTGTTACGCAGTCCCGCAAAACTTCTAAGGGTTGGAGGCAGCTGTTCTGCAAACCCTACCTTCAGATGTGTTAGGTTCTAGGGACGTTTGAGCCTGAGAATATTTTCTGAGGAGTCAGCGTGCTCTGGGAAGATGGCAAGTAGCCATCTTGGTAGGATATGACCACCTCCCTTCCATCTCTCCCTCTTTACGTTTCTGCTTCCCATGAAACATCTCTCTTCCTCATACCTCAGTGACTCTCCAGGTGTACAGGGATGTTCTCTGGGGCTGGAAGTAACAGGTGCCCAGGACCATCAGAGCCCCGTGCTCGGGAATCAGATCTGCATGGTCTCGGCTCATAACGTGTGCGGGATACCAAGTCCAGTACACATCTTGGGCATTTTTCATTCCAGCTAAGTGTGGGAGGTGAATGGTTTAACATCAGGGCCACTTATTTTTGGTTAGGACTGGTTCATGTATTACAATCTTGTTTGCTATGCTTGGAATTCGATCCACCTTTTTCTACAGCACCTGTCCCAGTCTCTCTTAGAGCAAGGCAGTGCAATCTCATGGGGCCAGTTTTGCTGTAAAGCTCCCTTTGTGTTGAATAAGGTTTCCTTCCTTACTAATGGTCTGATATTTAACAAGTCTCTTACCCTTTGCTCTTACATCTATAAAAGGAGGGTAGTAATGGGATTCGGCATGTGGTTTTTAGATGATAACACACACTTAGGGGTCAATCATCATGACACCAATGATCCTACCTTTACCATCACTAATTGTGTGTATATCTGTCTCTTCCAGATTAATGGTGTTAAAAATAATTCAACTGAGTAAATTTTACAGATTTTGTTGGCTTTATTTAATGATTCACTCATCAGGCAAGATCCAATCTATCAGACAGGACGTGGCTCCAAGGAGCTGTGCAAATAGAAAGACGTTTATAGGCAGAAGAGAGCACGAACAAGGAGGTTATACTAGGCAAAAAAAAAAAAAAACTGAGTTCATTACCGCAAAGTTATGTTTCCTTGGAAGACAGCAGGAGTCCATCAGGCAGATTGTATAACTAGTATTAATCAGGAGATTCCTGATTGACTGCTTTAAGATTCTGTTCTGGGGAAAACCAACACTATAATTAAGTCTCTGTTTGGTAACGTGGCCTTAGCATGAGTGACTCCATTTTAAGCCCGTTGTCTTAATTTTCACAATGGTATTGAACTATTCAAGGGTAGGACAATTGTATTTCTGTGTATATGCTGCATGTGCCTTCTACATGGCTAGCGAGTGAATTTGTTGAGTTGACTCTGTCCTGATAAAATATGATTCAACAGAACTTCCTAGTTTCATTTTTTGCTTTCTGCTCAGTCTTCTTTCCCTAATTTTTACTCTATGGAGGAGAATAGGTAGACTTCAGAGGGCATCATTGTTTTCAGATACTTGTTAGCAAGATGGGATTGTGTAAATAAATGAGGATCTCCCACCTCAATTCCAGTTTGTGGGGGAATGGATGGATGGGTTGTCAGGAATCTGCTTTTAAAGACCATTAAGTAGGTTATTGGAAAGTTATCCAAATACAAGCCTCCCAGTGGATGGTTTTCAGAGAAGTCAGCAACCATGGGTGTGAATTTCAGCTCTGTGGCTCACTGTAGTTTTTCATCTGTCAAATGAAGGTAATACTGCCCAACATTAAGTAGTTGCAGGCATTAAATTAGAGAATTTTGTAAACTCCCTAGAACTTAATAATTACTTATGTATCTGCTATTCTTATTATCATTGGTATTATTATTAATAAAACAGGTGACAGGTGCACTCCTCAGCCCTCTTCAAACAGCCCAGGTGTCAGTAAGGGCCATACACCTGTATAGACACCTCTAACCATCATCCTTTCCCTCCATCCAAGGTAGAAACATTTTACTGCACATCGTAACAAACATAAAAACTTTTATTTGTGTGTGTGTGCACTTGTGTTTAACGTAAGGTACTTTTTTAAAAATTCATAAAAATAGTAAGTCATTTTAAAGCTATTCAAAAATTTTTTTATTAACAAATTGCAAGTCATTTCAAAACTTGAAATTTGCTAGTACCTCTTATAAACAATTAAAAAGCAATTTTATCAGACCAGTTGCTTAACTACGGATCTCTATAGTTTGAATTAATTTCAAGTGGTGTAGTTAAGATTTCCATTGAAATTGAAGCTGCATGAATCGTGGTTTCTTATTATAAATAATGTAATTATATTATAAATAATATGATTATAAATAATTATTTCGAGAAGAAAAGGGAGAAGGGAAAGAAGAAGAGGAGGAGGAGAAGAAAAAGGAGGAATAAAACGAAAGAATTGAATAAGATGGGATTCTCAGTTACAACTTTTGCAGATTCCACTTTCGTTCAACTAAAACCTTCCAGCTGGTTGAACAAAAACAAATGAATGGTGTGGGTAATTCATGCTTATTCCCTGAAGTGGAATTCTCAGACAAAGCTGGAGAGTGAAGAACCCCATTTACTTTCTTCGTAAAATGTGTAGCATGTCTTCATTTGCACAGTCAGATAAAAATCGTGGGACATTGTGAACACGTCCTGGGGCCCCAGCCACACGGCCAGACCGTGTGTAGAGCCAGGAACAGTCGAGGTCAGGAGGGTGATCACACTGTCACTGTCTCCGTCAGTTTCATCCTTACAGATAGATCCTACTGGAGCTTTGGGAGCCGTAAAGCCTGTGCAAGAGAGCTCGCTCTTTCTGTCTCCC